ACAAACTAGAAATGATTAAGCTTAGTGAGGAAGGCATGTCAGAAGCTGAGACAGGCTGAAAGCTAGGCTGCTTGTGCCAAATAGTTAGCCGAGTTGTGAATGCAAAGGAAATGTTCTTGATGGAAATTTAAAGGGCCACTGCAGTGAACACACAAGAGACAAAGAAGCAAAATGGCCTTATTGCTGACATGGGTAAATTTATAATGGTTCAAATAGATCATACCAGCCACAACATTGTTTTAAGCCATAGCCTACTCCAGAGCAAGGCCGTAACTCACTTCAGTCCTATGAAGACCTAGAGAGGTAAGAGAGCAGCAGAAGGAAAGTTTGAAGCTAGCACAGGATGGCTCATGAGGCTTAAAGAAAGAAGCTGTCTCCATAACATAAAAGTGCAAGGTGAACAGCAAGTGCTGTTGAAGAAGTTGCAGCAAGTTATCCAGAAGATCTAGCTAAAGACAGTTGATAAATGTGGCTACTCCAACAGATTTTCAATTTAGATGCAACAACTTTGTATGTATTGAAAGGAGATGTCATCTAGGATTTTCATAGCTAGAAAGAATTCAATGCCTGGCTTCAAAGCTTCAAAAGACAAGACTGATTCCCTTAGGTGCTAATACAGCTGTTGGCTTTAAGTTGACACCAATGCTCATTAGTTACCCGAAATCCTAGAATACTTAAGAATTATGTGAAATCTACTCTCCCTGTGATCTATCAATGGAAAACAAAGCCTGGATGACAGCACATCTGTTTACAACATGGTTTATTGAATATTTTAAGCTCACTGTTGAAACCTACTGCTTAAAAAAAAGGATTTCTTTCAAAATAGTACTGCTTATTAACAATGCACCTGGTCACCCAAGAGCTCTGATGCAGATGTACAATGAGATTGATGCTATTTTCATGCCTGCTAAGACAACATCCATTCTGTAGCCCATGAATCAAGGAGTAATTATGACTTTCATGTTTTAGTATTTAAGAATGTACATTTTGTAAGGCAATAGCTACCATAAATAGTGATTCTTCTGATGATTCTGGGTAAAAGAAATTGTAGTAAATAGGTCTTTAGTACTGTAATGGGAAGGTGTGGGGAGGGGGAAGTGTTCCATTGTCCTCCATAGGTCTCAGTCTCTGGTGAATCTTTGCCCCTAGACCAGTGATTTTCAACCTTGTTTTTTAATCTTATGGTACACATAAACTAATTACTAAAATTCTCTGGCACACCAAAAAATTTATTTTTTGCCAATCTGACAAAAATAGGTATAGTTTTTATTGATTTACAAAATTAATAATAATAATAATAACCCATACTTTTGCTCCAAAGCAACTTTTATTGTTGCTGTTCTGGTTCTGTGAAATACACCTTGGTATCTTGATAGGAATTGCATTGAATCTAGGATTTTTAAAGATATATTTTATTGATTATGCTATTACAGTTGTCCCATTTTCCCCCCTTTATTCCCCTCCACCCTGCAGAGCCCCTCCCACTTGCATCCTCCCACCTTAGTTCATGTCCATGGATTGTATATACAAGTTCTTTAACTTCTCCATTTTCTATACTATTCTTAACCTCCCCCTGTCTATCTTCTACCTATCATTTATGCTACCTATTCCCTATACCTTTTCCCCTTCTCTGTTTCTCCCACTCTGCCACTGATAACCCTCCATGTGATGTCCATTTCTGTGATTTTGTTCCTGTTCTAGTTGTTTGCTTAGTTTGTGTGTGTGTGTGTGTGTGTGTGTGTGTGTGTGTGTTTTGAGGTGTGGTTCTTCATAGCTGTGAGTCTGTTGTCATTTTACTGTCCATATTTTTTATCTTCTTTTTCTTAGATAAGTCCCTTTAACATTTCATATAATAAGGGCTTGGTGATGATGAACTCTTTTAACCTTATTGGAGAAGCACTTTATCTGCCTTTCCATTCGAAATGATAGTTTTGCTGGATAGAGTAATATTAGATGTAGGTCCTTGCCTTTCATAACCTTGAATACTTCTACCTAGCCTCTTCTTGCCTGCAAGGTTTCTTTTGAGAAATCGGCTAATAGTCTAATGGGAACTCCTTTGTAGGTAACTGTCTCCTTTTCTCTTTCTGCTTTTAAGATTCTCTTCTTATCTTTAATCTTGGGTAATGTAATTATGATGTGCCTTGGTGCATTCATTCTTGGGTCCAACTTCTTTGGGACTCTCTGAGCTTTCTGGACTTCCTAAAAGTCTATTTCCTTTGCCAGATTGAGGAAGTTCTCCTTAATTATGTTTTCAAATAAGTTTTCCATTTCTTGCTCTTCCTCTTCTCCTTCTGGCATCCCTATAATTCGAATGCTGAAACATTTAAAGATGTCCTGGAGGTTCCTAAGCTTCTCCTCATTTTTTTGAATTCTTGTTTCTTCATTCTGTTCTGGTTGGATGTTTCTTTCTTCCTTCTGCTCCAAACCATTGATTTGAGTCCTGGTTTCCTTCCTGTCAGTGTTGGTTCCCCGTAGATTTTCCGTTATTTCACATAATGTAAACTTCATTGCTGCTTGGGTCTTTTTTATGCTGTTGAAGTACCGAGTGAGTTCCTGGAGCATCCAGATGCGTAGGCTTGTGCACATTCTAGGACCCTGCAGATCTCTCCAATGAACTCTCCTGTGAAGTTGAGAGTTTCTCCTGGCGCTGCCCCAACCCCCACAGGTGTTTCCAATCAAAGGTTTGAGGCTTTATTTCCCTGCACTGGAGCCCTGGGTTGCACTGTCTGTCTCACTCCCTAGTTGTTCCTCCTGGTTTATCCACACACGAATGTGGGACTGTCCAGTCCACCAGCTGCCACCTTGCCTCGAGACCCCTCCACTCCAGCTGCCTGTCTCTGCCCCTCCTATCAGTCTAGATGAATATTTCTTCTTTAACTCCTTGGTTGTCAGACTTCCGTACAGTTCAATTTTCTGTCAGTTCTGGTTGTTTTTTTGTTTCTAAATTTGTTGTCATCCTTCTTTTGGTTATGTGAAGAGGCACAGTGTGTCTACCTACACCTCCATCTTGGCTGGAAGTCCATGAATCTAGGATTTTTTGAAAAATGGGTGCCTATATTTGTATATAAGAATTTCTGGTACCAAGTATTAACCAATCAGATGCAACCTTATTATACCATGTGACTAATAAGATACAGCTGTATTATATGACCTATATATTTATGGTTTAAGACAAGGCATTCACACCTGACAAGTACTATGTTGGCTGTTGTCACTTTTGTATTTGACAATGTAAGGGAAAAGCGGTCAGTGTCCCTGACTAAATAGTCAGGTATTGCATGTTTTTTTTTTAAGATTTTATTTATTTTTAGAGAGGGAAGGGAAGGAGAGAGAGAGAGAGAAACATCAATGTGTGGTTGCTGGGGGCTGTGGCCTGCAACCCAGGCATGTGCCCTGACTGGGAATCGAACCTGCGATGCTTTGGTTCACAGCCTGCACTCAATCCACTGAGCTACACTAGCCAGGGCCAGGTATTGCATGTTTTAACAATTCTTGTGGCACACACTGGATGAAAATTGCTGCCCTAGAATGAATTTCAATAAGCCTTCTTAGTCTCTTCCCTTCTCTCCCTTATCTCCCCTTAGGAGGGACAGGATGGCTAAAGGGAGCTACAGTTGGGTATTTCCCTTCCCTAGGTAGGTTAGACTCTGATTAAAAAAACCCAGCAGGTTAGGCTTTGATAAAATAGTCTGTTTTTAGGGCAGGCCTTGTTAAGAACATAATGCTCTGGCATATTTCAAAATGGTTACTTTCCCCTCCACCTGCAAGAAATATGAACACCAAATTTACCTCCAATATTCACCAAGAAGACCTGTTGGGCTACTGAAGGTAAAACCCACTAAAGCATTGGGCTCCCCTTTGATTAGATCTCCTGGGGTTTTAACCTCTCCCACTTACTCACTGTAATAAGCCTGTAGCAACTTTTTTTTTTTTTTTTAATTACAGTTCAGGTTCCTACCACAGGCAGGTTCTCATGGAAGTTTCTGTGCTAGTATGTTGCAATTCTGTGTCCATTTGTCTTGTGTATCCATTTTGGGCTAGTGGTTTGTTCTGTGACCTCCTTTCTCTAATAGAACTACATAGGGCTGTTTTCAGCTGGTTCAGCTTTTTGCTGTGAGGATGGAATGTCAACTTTTAAGTGTTTTATATGCCAGATCAGAAACTGTGCATTTTAAAAATTCATTATGTGTGAAAATACCAAAGGTTAGTTTTAATTTATTCTATTTTCTGGGTTAAGTTATATAAAATATTTGCATACTTGAGGATTTAAGGTTATGGAAGAATCCCTTGTGTGTATGTCCAGGGCCTATTATTCTATTTCCTGCACAAAATGCATTAATAAATTTTGCACTTTTGTATGAGCTATATCAGTACCCTAAATAGTGTATATCATACAGTAAATATTTAATAAATATTTGTGGGATAATCAATAAATGAATGACTAAAAGATCACCTTGGGAATCCATGGAATCTTTCAGGTATTATCAGGTCACTCCCCAACTTTCTAATGGACTTAATTTGTCCTGAGAAAGAAACAAACTAGGAATTGCTCTAACTTTTAATATTGCTTCTAGTAGCTAATATACTTGCTTGCTCTGAACTTGAACTCAGCAAATGTTTCTCTTGATGTTCAATTTGAAAGTAACAAATTTAGGAACTCTCAGATCTCTATGTAGGAATTGTTCTATGCAATAACCACTTTAAATCTTCCAAACAAAGAAGGACAAAAATTGTCAAACTGACATAAAATGGAACATGAAAGGTAAATGTGGGTGTCTTATTTGTTTAATAACCACGAGCTAATGCACATTCTTAGTTGTAGATTATCCTTGACATATTTTAAATCACAGATGCTTTCTCTTTCTATCCAGAAATCTCTAAGTTTTTCCATTCAAATTTGTTCCCTTCCTTATCCAACTTGGGCATACAAACAGAAAAGCAATGCTGATTTTAATTTTAATCTATGTGAAATATAAGAAATGAGACATTTTTGAACAAAATTAAATTTAAAATATATTTATTATTCAACAATATTTAATTGATTATGAATTATGTATCAACTATGTTCTACCAAAGTGGCCAGTAGTTAATCAGTATTTGAGTTAGATTGTCATCCATCTGGTCCTCTGTTTAACTATTTCCTATTTGGCCCTTTTCAACTCAAATGTAACTCCCCTCCCCCCAAACAAAAGCAAACAAACAAAAAAACATGTAAACGCGACAACAATGAAATAAACCAGGTGACAAAAATGAGGGAATGCACTGGACATAAGACAATATGAGTTTGTGGAATTCTGGAAACCATAAGGAATTGAAGAGAGTTGATCTTATATAAAAGCATGCAACCTTCAAATAATTTTGAAATGCTATGATGATAAAATATAGCCATGTCCATATACCAGTTTTAGTTATAGGCTGCCAGATTGTACTGCTTGTCTTAAATAAATTGATATATTCATTATATCTGCAAAACAAATGCTATTATTGAGGATATTTAATGCCATGATAATATGCTCACATATTTTTTAAAAGCATGGTAAAAAGCAGCAGCAGCAGCACTCTCATTTTAAAATACATAGAAAACACTGAAAATGTCTGTATTAAAATGTCATCAGTGGCTATCTCTAGCTGATGGAATTATATATTCTGCTGAGTGTTTTCCTGTATTTTCTTAATGTTCTACAATGAACATGTATTGTTTTTGCAGATGGAAATACATTGTTTTTACAAGGTAGAGAAGTTATGTGGCAATATGGAACAAAATGGAGTAGAATAAGATCAGAGGCACAGATTAATACTATTGCTTAATATGGGTGAAAGATGGTATAATATGGGTGAAAGATGGTAAAGCCAAATTAAGGCAATGTCTGTGAGAACAGAGAAAGTAATACAACATAAGACAGAAAGAACAGGATTTGATGATCTTAGATTTTTTTTTTTAGGGTGAAGATAAGGTTAAGAAAACATTAGCTTAAACATGGTATTTCCTTTGGTAATCTTGGATCTATGTGGGGTAGATATATGGGTTATAAATTCATTATCCTTCAACATGATAAGTGAAATTGTGACCCTAAATGAGATTCCTTAGGGAAAATATATAAAGTAGAAACAGAACAATGGTCTGAATTATGGGGAACTTTTAATAGTTAAGAGCCAGATACTAGAATAAAAAAGCATATAAAGAAAACTAAGTAGGAATGATTAGAGAGATAAAACAACTAGGAGTTTATTACAGAAACTAAAGGTAGGTTTCAAGTAGGATTTGGCCCACTACCCTAACAGAGAAAGCTAACACAGAAAGGTCTCAACTAGTTTGAGGTCTTTCTCTGTACTTGGAGAGATCGATAAACTTATATTAGGAAATTTGTGAAGAATGTCTAGTTTAGCTTTGTCCTCCAGCCTCCAAGAAGATTGTCTAGAGACTGAATTCTCATTTGATCCTCCATGCTGTCCTTGTCAAGTGTTGCTAGGAACTGGAGGTATAAACCTGTCTAATCCTGAGAATGAATTGACAGGCCTATTTGGTTTTCATACAAAGCAACATCAACCAACTTAGTTTTATTAGTAATGAAGTGATATTTTAGCTTCCATTTCTACCCTTTGCTTTATTTCCCAAATTGTTCAGAACCTAGCCAAGAGGGGAATTAGTTTATTGGGATCTCCTTGTAAACTGCAACAATTGTCAAATTTCACAAGTCAGGCAAAGAGCAGAAAGGCTAATGATTTGGCAGTTAGGAAGTAATCACAAATTGCTGTCTTCCTTCATAAAGTTAGTTTCTGTAGGGAAGGCGATTAAGGAGTGACTCCACGGTGGTGTTGGTGGGGCAGCTGTAACTACTACCCCAATCCTTGTTCTGTAAGGTTCTCTAAGTATAGGACTCTGCCACCCAGGGAAACAATACCAGTCAGGGTGATTTTATTTGCAAATTAATAAAATGTACCTTAAAAATGGCTTAAATGAGGGTGGCTGGGGTAGGTGGGAGAAAAGGCAGACCTCAGTGGACAATTAGTTAATAAAGAACAATGGGTGCATTCACGATCCTGGCTTGCAAATATCATCTGGTCTCTACTCTCTACTGTTCATATCTGCTTTCCTCTGTCCTTGTTATATGGTAAGAAAGGCTTGCTCCATGTTGTGTCAGAGATAGTCAACAGCACATTCAGCCTCAGGAAAGCTTTCATAGATGACTCTGGAAAGATTGGCTTAGCTCATAAACCTATCTTCATGGCAGGGAAAAAAAGTCACATTTTTCTTCCTATTCCATGTTGGTTGTATTTTTATCTTTTTTTTTTTTAATTGTTGTCCAACTACAGTTTTCTGCCTTTTCTCCCCGCCCCTCCCTACCACTCCAGCCCTCCCAACCTCCCTCCCCTGTTTCTAGCCCCAACTTTGTTATTGTCCATATGTCCTTTATAATTGTTCCTATAAACTCTTCACCCTTTCCCCCCATTATCCTCTCCCCTCTCCCCTCTGGTCACGGTCAGCCTGCTCCCACTTTCAATGTCTTTAAAAGTCACATATTGACTGCTTTATTAGTCAGGTAGAAGAAAGGCACTTCTAGAAAGGACGGACATACAAAAAGTAACTATTGTCTACTACATTCCACTCTTTGGCTATCCAGCATCTATATTTGTGCTTCTTTCAGTACATATAATTTTAAAAATGCCCTAGTCCAAGACAATGTAATTATCCCATAGACAACTCTTCTCCCCAGTGGTAGACATGCCCAAGTCTCATCCAATTATTGCATCTTGCCTGAAAACCAAGACTTCTGGATAATGTGAATTTCTGTTGGTCAGGTCTGGACATAGCTCTTCATGGTACAGCATAATAAACATAATTTTAAATAGTGGCATATACTTAACAAGAGCAAGAGCACCCTAATTACCTATTAGATGAGGTCTTGGTCAGTTAATCTAGTGGTCTTGAGTTTGCTCTCTGGAAGGCACTCCCTTACCTCTTGCCCACACATAAAGGATACTGGAATTAGGCAATCATAGGCCTTTGTTTGCAAGGCTTCATGTTTCTGTCAACACAATTCTCTTGCAATCTTAGCTGCCTGCTGGCCACTTTGCTTTTCAGTAACTCTGTAGTTTAGAAACCAAAAACAGAGACAGTATTTCAATGCTTTCTATCCCTTTGCAATGGGTTTCAAGGTTGGAATGCAATGCCTATCTTCCAGCCAATTAAACTAATTATTTCTATTTCGACCTTTGTAGCCAAAATTATAATCTGAAGAATGCGTTTGGGAGAAATGCGGCTAGGTTTTATCTCTGTTCCCTTGCCCCAAATTCCATCTCAGTGAATGGCTTCTCACAATATGACTAATTTGACAAACGTTGCCAGACAAGATATATACAGCAAGAGATGCCTGAGGTGAGCAGGATTATGCTCTTTTTCCAGGGTTTGAATGACATCTTTTACTGTGTTTCCAACTCCCTACCTCTGTTTGCACTAACTTTAGCTCAGGAGAGAGAATATGGGTTTTCCAAATCTACAAACTGCAGGCTTTTTTGATTCTTAGACACATGGCTTACTGAGTACATGTGGAAAAGGGGTGTCAGGAATACATTCCTTTTGCATTTAATTAGCTAGCTTGAAATATCTCTCTTGTAGGACCTCATTAATGGACACACTCCAAAACCCTGACATTTTTCTACCAAATCCCCTAAAACTTCAATCTTATAAGATTATATCTTCAATATAATCATCTAAAACCTAAAATTCAACAGGCTGCTTGCTACAACATAGTAAGTTTTGCCAAAATCCTCACCAGGGCTAAGAAATTCGTATTACTGTGCATCCTGCCTGACTCACCAGTTCTACATTTCAGGGGGGCTCCTTTGTTGACACTGGTGCAATCTTATGTACTTGTCAGGTATAAAAATCCAAACCTTGCTATTCTGAGATTTCTTACTCTCTTCCAATTTCACAGTCTGTTTTGAATTTCACATCAATTTTGGATTCAAGTTCAGGGAATTTAAAGTTTAAGGTACTATTAGGCTCTTTTCATCTCTGCGAGATTTTATCTGGTTGCTAAAGGTAAGTTCTTCACCAGTATGATAGAGGAAGAGGGGCATCTATTGAATTTGTTGCTGAAAGGTCCATTGTTGCTACAATTTGCATCTATTGTCAAATGTGACTGTTTTCCCTCCACCCTTAGCTCAGAACTTACCGATGTTAGTGTCCTCTCAATAGGATCCTCTGCCCAACCTACGGATTCATACCACAGCCTCTGCCATGAGTTTCCATCACCTTGTACTTCAACCCCCTGGAAAGCAATTGGGCTCTCACTGGAAAGCAATTGTACTGCAGCAACCCCCTGGAAAATAAATTCACATTCCTTTTCAGGAATTCTGTACTTCCTTTTCAGTCCACTGTAGTTAATACACAGGAGTTATCAATGCTGCCTGGTCCTCTCCACCTAAATGTATTTTGCTGCCGTTTCTAGATTACAGTTGCCCACGTGAGGCAAATTTCCAGGTGGATGCTGGGCACAAGCCATAAGCTCCCCATTTTTTAATTCCAAAGTCTTCCTGGCTGGATCTATCCCTTCTTCCTTAAGGTTTCAACCTTGAGGGAAGAGCCAGGAAGTATGTCTCAATTCTTGGGCTCTTTTCCCCTCCTACAATCCCTTGACTCTGCCTCCATTTTCTTCTGATTTCATTCTCAAACAGGTTCCCTCTACATGCTGGCCAAAGCCATAGTTCAAGTTTTTGCTCAATTCCAGAGTGAGGTACTTTTTCTCAAGTGTTAACCCAAATGATGAGACTGTCTCTGATTGGCTTCATTTTGTTAATTAACCTGCCCATTCCCAAACCAATCATTATAATTGAGGAATAGGGTACTTGGGCTGGCCTGATTCATTGGACCACCCTGTGTTATGGGAGTTAGGACCAGGTAATGGACGGTTGCACCTGGAGAAAGAAGGGTAGGTCTGTATTAGAATAAACTCTCATCTCAATGACTAAACACAAAAGAATGCACATTATCTCTAACACAAGTATTCCTAATAGGCAGGCAGCTATCCTCCAAGAGATGATTCAGGAAACCAGAATCCTTCCACATTGGGTTTCATCATCTTCAATACATAGCTTCCAATACAAAGGTGTTTATCCTTCCTCAAGTTGGTAGGGAATGGGGAGATTTGGGAGGACTTCACGTCATATTTTTATGGACTAGAGCTGAAACAGCAGCACATCACTTCTACTCACATTCGTAGTTAGAATCTAATTGGCACATGTAACTAGTTAGCCTAACTGCAAGGAAGGCTGCAAAGTGTAATCTGTGTGCTCAGAAAAAGAATCTAATGTCTTTGAGTTCACAATTATGGTCACTAAATATTTATTTTACCTCTCTTCATACATAAAATACATCCTGCCCCAATGGAGACAACTTAAAATTTTAACCAGTCACTAAGTCAGGCTTAAAGTCTAGATTTTTAGGTAACTGTAGTCTTTTTCTTTTGGTCCAGATGCAACCTATGAACTAAAAAGACAAGTTCTCTCTTATGTCACCCCATGTCCCAGAAAAACAATGTACAGGGAAGGTGAGGGACATGTAACAATGCATTCATGTTTAGAAAAGAGAAAAATGTGACACTAAGCAATACACATATATAGCAATAAAGAAATAATGCATAGGCATTTTGTGATGTTTCCCTCCCTCAAGAGTGGAAGAAGTTTTGATAAGACCTCAATCTAGTCTTTGAGAGGAATTCCCTTGTCCTCTGTCTCTGTATGGACCTGACACCAGCCTCTGAAATGTCCTTTGACCATCACTCCCCATGACCACATCCTATGTAAATATTGGGGAGCTGTAAAGCATTTATGCCCCATTTCCTACTTATGCAAGTTTGGGGTTCAACAATTGCCTGTTTTAATACCTGAACACTATTTGAACCAGGTTCATGATTTGATTAGTAATAAAATTCCTTCAAAAATTTATTCTTTTATCTATTTACTTGCAGTAACTCTCCCAAAATTCTTCCTTACATAATTGTCAAACCTGAATTACTTTTTTGCTTCCTTGTTCCCATGACAGTTTCTCTAAAACGTCACTGCAGTGAAAATCATGGTGTTGGAGGTGAAAGCCAGAGCCTTCATCTGATATTTGTTCTGGAACTATATCTTAAGAAACTGTACTGAAAGCCTTTTTGTTTCTTTTCTTTTTTTACTATTCAAGGTCTAGAAAAAATATCTCTTCTAATCCTTTCAAATATCTCCATGCACTTTAATTTCTGCAATTATTTACAGAGCTTATCTCTATAGTAAAATCCTTCTAGATGTAAAATGTAAAATTCAAAATATACTATTACTTTTATTCTTTTGAACTATTTTCCTCTGGACTACAGTCTCAATAGATGGGTGATATGCTTTTCAATTATTGCAGGTAACAGTTTTACCAATTATTTTGCCACTACAAGACATGAGTCTCCTTCCAGCCTCTGATATCCGTTTATTCAACATGTGCTGTATCATTGCAACACAACATATTTTAAGTTATTGTCTAGGCAGTACCCCACTTCTGATACCAATTTCTGGATCAGTTATGGTCATTCTTGTTCCTGTTAACATATAAATTCTCAAATCTAAATTTTCTCTGCTGTAGTAAGTCCAAAAAGAAGCATTTTCTAATTTGGAGGTAGCTGTCTTCCACGTAGTGATTTAGCCAGTCATGCTCCTTCTCCCTCCTAGCTCTGGTATCTCTAATATATAGTTTTCAGGTCTACCATATGCACTAGCTTCAAGCTGATAGGGCAAGATGAGTGGAGAATGGGAGGACCTCATCAAGCCTGGAAATGAGCATATTATGTTCATTCATATCTCACTGACTAAAAGTCAGCCACATGATCACAACTAGACTGCAAGGGAAATTGGGAAATTTAGCCTAGCTGTATGATCAGGGAGAAGAACTAATTCTCATGAATGGCTGGTCAAGTCTCTGCTACAAGATTCTAAAAGAAAAAAAATACTAGATAAAAATAACAGGAAGTCAGTCACTCCATTCTAATAGGTTTGACCTTTTCCTATTGGTTCCACCAAGATAGTTTCACTACTATATAAAAAAGTAGCAATTCTAAATAATGGGATTACTTTGAAAAGAGCATTTCTGATAGTGTAATAGGTACAGAATTTAGACTGCAGAAGGTTAATAAATGAAATTCAGATAACAAAGAGACATTGAACATAGAATACTCTTTAAAGCTTGACTGTGAAGGAAACAATGGAACTAGACACGTGGAAGATTAAAGACAGAAAAGATAATAAATGGAAGAGAAAGATGATATGGAACTAGGGTACAGATGAACAATACATCTTTTGTAAGAGTGGGGAGTATTTCATTCTTCTAATACTGGAGAAAAACAATGAAGTATCTAATTTCCTAGCATTTAGAAAGATTGAAGGAATTTGTGCCTAACACCATTAATTTTCTTGCGAAGTATGAAGTAAAGTCATATAATGAAATGTGGCTGGAATTTAAAGACTGCAAAAAGTATTCTGGTGGGAAGGGAGACAAAGGTGCTGAAGGATATACAAAGTAGGAGGGAGAAATCTAGCTGAGGTTATAGAACTTAAATCTGTAGTGGTAAAATATACAATGTTGCCTACTGTTCTGCACAGGAACTCAGCAAATACTGTAACAGATGATTGGTACTTTGTGTGTAAATTTACTACAACTCTTTTTACACCGTAAAGCCTTTGGAAGCAGATACTTTGATGTCCTCAACTATGCACACAGTAGGCACATGACTAATTTTTGCTTGAATGGATTGATTCAGTCATTGCCAATTCTGCTATAGCATTCTGTAGGGTACTGGCAGCTGCCCACATTTCATTCGGGATGCCAATGCCAAAAAGAAAAAAAAATGCTAAAAAAATTTCAGGCATATGCAGCTAAACTTAGCAGTCTTAACATGGCAACTATGTCAGCTGAGATATACTTTTTATCTTGTGCCAGCACATCTACTTTTGACGTTTACTTCATTTTCCTTATGCCACTGTGCTTTAACTGGATCAGAAAGAGATAATTCTGAGTTTAATAAGCTAGGCTATTATTTTGAAAGTCTCAGACTTTCGAGGTGCTTTAGACACCAACAATAAATTCAACCCCTCATCACAATAGTCCTTCATAGAGGCGCATAGACAAGGTTGTTCGTGATGCACACTTCATAGATTAAAGCTGAGTCGGTAAGGGGTGGGAGAACTATACCGGGGTCTTTCAGCGAATCGCCTGCAAAGTCTGGCACAGAGCCTGTTTTCTTCTCCACTTCGGAAATTTACCGTTGTAGTGATCGGAACTCCTTATTTACAGAAACATATACTCAGATTCAGGAAGTCTATAACCCAACACTTAAACTAGGCAGAGGGCTCTTTCCCTTACACTAGGCCATCTCTCCAGATCCAACCTCCAACTCACGATTCGGCAGTGGGCAAAAAGAAGGCCGAGAACAAAACAATGTACAACAATACAAAATGAGGCTCCACCTCCCAGACCTGGTGGTCCCGGGCTCCAGCTAACAAGGTGTCTGGATCGTGCTTCCGCACTGGCTTCCCACCCAGCCGGAGCCGCTCCTCTGCTGCCTGTCCCAAGCACCGAGAAACTGCCCGCCCGCGGGAGCCAGCACCGGCCCTAGAAACCTCACTTTCGTCCACTCGCGCGCCACTCAGGCGACGCCTGATGGCGTCACGTGTACTTCCGCTTGCGGCTGCGTTCTAGTCTAAAGCGGGGAAGGAAGAGGGGATGGCTAAAGGGTTGTGAGAGGAGGAAATAGCGAGGAAAGAGAATAAGTCGGGGCATTCGTGGGTGCTACGGCAGTAACCGTGGTCCTCCTCTGTCCCCGCTGTTCCCTCCTTGGAAGTCGTCCTGGGCACACTTTCCTCGCTTCTTTGTAGTCTCCCTTCTATTGAGTCTCCCGACACCCGGGTCTTCCTGTACGTCTCACCCCCCCCGCCTTGCTCCCTGACGCTCCCCCCTTCCTCCCTCCCATCGCCAGGCTCCCCGCCCTTAGTATCGCGAGACGAGGTGAGAGCTGGCGGAGCGGCGGCGGCGGCGGCTGTAGAGGTGACCGAGACGGTGGCGGCGGAGGCGGCACCGAGCGCTGTGTTGGCCCCGGTGCGGCAGAAGTCGCGGTAGAGGTAGCCCCCTACGCCCCTCCCCCGTCCGCGCCCTCCCTCTTTCCCTGGGGATGGAGAAGGCGACGGTTCCGGTGGCGGCGGCGGCGTCGGCGACTGAGCGAGAAGGGAGCCCCCCGGCGGCGGCGGCGGCGGCAGCGGGCCCCCCCGCGGCGGCGGCGGTGGTGGAGGTCGGCGGCGGCGTTGGCGGCGGCAGCGGGGCTTGCTCGGCCTCGTCTCCTCGTGGGATGGTGCGAGTGTGCGACCTGCTCCTGAAGAAGAAGCCGCCGCCGCCGCAGCAGCAGCAGCAACAGCACCACAAGGCCAAGCGAAACCGGACTTGCAGACCCCCTAGCAGCAGCGAAAGCAGCAGCGACAGCGACAACAGCGGTGGTGGTGGAGGCGGCGGCGGTGGAGGCGGCGGCGGAGGCACCAGCAGCAACAACAGCGAGGAAGAAGAGGACGACGACGACGAGGAAGAGGAGGTTTCTGAGGCAAGGGCCTGCTTTAAAGGAAGGAGGGAGGAAGGGGCTGTAAAGGGTAGGGGCCGAAGGTGGGAGGGCACTTGTGGTGGGACAGATTCCCGTGGTCTGATTTGTCTTAGGGGCTAGGCGTCCACTGCCCTCTTTCTTTCCCCGGCCTAATTCGTGAGGTGTGGGGCTGTGGGGGAGGGTAGCTGACACGTGGGGGTGGGAGGACCGCAGAGTCCACAGAGTTGGTGAACAGTACGTTTTCCGGGGGTGGGGGGACCTGGTTAGATTCCCTCCTTGCAACACCAGGTGGGATCGGCCTGGGGTCGGTAGGGTCTCCTTATTTCTGGGGTGGGGTCGGGACCGAAGCGGTAGGGGTAAGGTAATGATGGGTAGGTGAGTCTCTTGCGGAACGACCGCAAGTTGGTAAATTTCTCGCAAATGTGAGGTTCGAGGAGCAGTTTGGGGGGAGGTAAGGTTGTAATGGATTTAGACCTAAGTGTATATGTGAGAGACACGTGAGAAGCTTGTACTTTTCCATACTCTTCAGCTGCAGGTTTTTTTCATATTGTGGCTGCCGAAGGAACCTTCACTTCCTCCATCTTTCAAGGGTTTTGCGTGAACTGATCTTATATCCATATACATTCATATAAAATGCAGTAGATGAGAAATACATATGATCCTTGCAAGTATATTCACGTATATCTTGAAATGCTTCCTTAGCGAGGAAGAATTGTTAGGTGCTGCTGTTTTCCAGATGCTACGGGGCAGCTAACGTGTCTGTGTGGAGCCAGCTTTGGTAGTGGTGAGTTGGAATGGGAAGGCCTCTTGGTTTGTCCTAGTGCTCTGGTTTCATAACTGTTTATAATTGTTCCTGGGACCACAGACAGGCGGCGTTGCAGGACCTCTTTCTTCACAGAAGGCCATATTACCCCGCAGCTCAGTAAAACATACCTTGCTGACAACAAACTAAGGGTTAGCCTTACTTGTTACCAGCTTTTTTGGTAACTCTCTTGTCCACTCTGAAGTGGAAGCTAGAAAATTTTTATGTAGATAAAGAAGTTGTAACTTAAGGCAGCTGAAGGAAACAGCTTTAGAGGCTGATTATACATTTAGTTCTGAAAGAACAACTAAATTTTCTTGAAGTACCACTTGCCATTTATTCTCTTCCACAAACACAGAGCTTAACTTGGCTCAAGGCTGGTTTCTTTAAAATTGCATTATTGGATCTTGGGTTCTTTTCAAATAGAGAAATACCTTTTAAAGAGTTTGAGACTGGCCTGTGAGTAGAACACCTGATTCTTTTTTACCTCAGACTGTGTGATGTTATATAAGTAGAGATATGACCGTTCAAGTATGTATACCAAAGAGATGGACACTCCCTGCTATTTCACTAACCTGTTGAATTCTATGGGTAGGCTTGTATTGATAGATTTTGTATTGTCCTAGTTGGATGTTTCAGAAGGTAGGCTCAGGCTACACTTGAAACATTGAAGGATGTGATGGCATCCTTCTTCCAATAAACTCTATAGGTAGGATTATTCAATTGCATGGGTTATTCTCAGAGATGAGAAACATTGTACAGAAATCTAGTTCAACCCTTTTATTTTAAAGATGAGGAAAACAAGGCTTAGAGGAAACTGTGGTGGGTAGTAGCAAAAATAGGAATCAGAGTTTTCTAATGGCTCAGATCAGTACACTTTTTTTATGACAGTTTATTTCCTTGTATTCCCTTCCTGACCTCTTTTAAGAAATAGGCAGCAAATTGCATGCCTATTTTTGTGGTAACACAATCATGCAGCTATGGGCAAAATACCAATGTTAAGATGTTAGGTTCTCCCACACAATGTCAAGCTCTGGTTTAGAACTCAATGTCAAGTTGAGTGCATCACTTACTGGAATATTATGCTATAAACTTCACATACCTAAGTAGTTTTGTTCATTGGATTGGCCTGATAAGCAAAACTTTTAGTTATTTCTTAAATCATGTAGAATAGTCATAAGTTTAGTAAATGTGTTCATTTTGTGTTGGTTTTCCCTGAAAAGCAGAAAAGGTGTATGTTGACTTTGATCAAGTAGGTTTCGTTGTTTTTTATTTATTTTGTTTTCTGCACAGTGGTGTAAACAGTAGGTTTGTTATTTGTTTTGATGACAAGTCAAAAGAAGTAAGAAAGTACAACCATTTAAAATAAATCTGTACAGGTACATGATGAGGGATGAGTAGACAAAAAGGAGCACAGTATGCCTACAACTGCTTCCATCCTTGACCAAAATAAATAAATAAACCTAACAGTCACTGTATATTATAAGCTAAATTGATCACTTCTGCAATGTTTTTCATTTCATTACCATTTTATTGCCATGTCAGCAGAAGTTGAAATTTCTAGTGTTAGGCAATCATGTGGTTAATACTCATATTTAAGTCCTTTTTCTAATTCATTATGTTATTGGCTATACAATGAAAAATGTGGATAACATGATCCTTGAGATTATCCTAGCATTAAAAATCACAAGGTTAAAGAGGACTATGAAAAGTTATTGTTTTGGGGTATTTAACCTGAGGAGATGGAGGATAATTTAACAACAGTATATATGTTTGTTATGAAAAAGTGCTAGCTGGATATTCACTGTATCTGCTAAAAGGAAAAGTTGGAAAGAAAGGAGATACAATTTAAACGAGCTTTATTTGAATGTCGAAGAACAAGAATCTTAATTTTTACTAAACATTAGAATAGGTTAATAAGATTGGATTTTCTGTTCAGTATTTCAGAATAGAATAATCATGTTTTAGAATATATGTAACTTCGAATATACCTGGGAACAAAAATATAAGACCAAGACCTATCCCTTCATTTGACACACAACTTTAGATCAGAAATGGAAAAATGTATAATTATCTTGTCTTTTCAGTGGATGGCTGACCAATATGGAGAACAGAAATGTGTATCCTAACAGCTTTTATGTCCTCACAGCTTTTTGTTACAATATACATTTCTGTTTTCCATATTGCTGTGATGTACTTCTTTTCAAATTAGTGGACTAAATTAAATTACTAACTCAAGTATTACAAAGAAAAACATGTTGAAATTGCAAGTTCATACTTCATTTCAGAAATAACATTGCATTCTACTGAATGTGTTTTTAAATGTAATTAAACTGTGTCAGTATTTGCTAAAGCAGAAATCAGGGGAAGAACTTGCTGTTTAAAAGTAGGACTCGTGTACAAAAGTAACATTTGTGTGTGCATAAAATGGAAATGTAGCAAAAGTTAATCAGAATCCCATATATTTTTTTATAGATAACTTAAGGCTTTAAATTTAAGGGACAAACCTAGTAAAGAAATTTTAGACAAGGAAAGCCAGTAAATAAATTAGTACTGACTTAGTTTCAAAAGGATTTGGGGGAATCAGTTTCTTGACATGAAAGAGGTAGGGTTGAAAATAAGAGAGAAATCTTATTTCAGAAGTAGATTGTGTTTCCATAGGTTCACTTCCAAATCTTTTTTGTTTGTTTGCTTGTTGGTTTTTAATGGAAAAATGCCATTTAATGGTATTAATGGTAGTAATGGTAGTATCCCCAATAGCCCAGAGAAGCTTACTTGTTTCCCATTTTCATCTCTTAATTGATGAAGCAGTATTTGTAAACCAGACATTTGGCTCTTTAAAGCAATAGTTGTGTCATAATTATCTTGTCTCCTATTCTGCATAGTACTTGATAAAAAACATTTTCCATGAACTCGTTTAGGAAACCAAGAGAAGTAATGGTGTTACTTTTTCTTGGATCTAGGGCTGCTGAATAGTTGAAGTTTGAATTTCAACATCTTTCAATTACTTAACTCCTTCTCTTAGTGATGATGATCCTCCATGTGTATTTGGGGGGAAGGCATTTAAACTAATAGACATTGAATATTGAAGGTCTGAAAAGTACCATAAGCCACCTAGATATAGATACATTTTTTAAAAAAACATAATAAAAATTGTTACTCAGTGCCTATCATGTGTCAAGTCTAACATAATGGTTAAGAGCATGGCTTAGAACTTGTATTCAAATCCTTGAAGATCAAGGA